GAAAGAGTGGGTGCAGAAGCACATCCTACATTTAGGGTCTCCAACTCCACGGACGACCTCCTGCCATCCTAATCAAATTCACTGGAACAAGGAGCAATCGAGGCTAAGCAGCTTGCCTTCCACTGGGGTTAGCAGAAAGGTTTTCTGTGCTCTAGTTCCACCTGGATTCCTCAGCGCTCCCATCTGCTCAGATCTCGGTTTCTCTAGGCAGAGTCTGTTGTTTCAGGTGCCCAGACACTTCTGAGGCAGAGTCCCACAGCCATAAAGGCAGCTGCAAGGCACTGAGTCGCAAAGCTGCTCGTTGTCAGTGCAAAAAGCTAAGGGAAGCCAGCAAGCGCTGGGGGAGAGCAAGGGCTGACAGGAGAGGGAGACAGCACTCGAGGCTGGGGGTTCCCAATTTCCTGCATTCCGGTTATACGGAAATTCTTCCTTCTGGGCAATGGCACAAACCCCCATCCCTACGGCACTCCACTGCTCACAGCCCGGGGCTGCTGTTGCGTTCTCTGGACACTGCATAAATCCCAGGGGTGAAAAGTTCTCCCTGCAGTTTCTCTAGGAAGAACATTTTTATTTCTGGGGGTTGGTTGATTTCCTCAGGGAGAAGGGAAGGGCTGTATCCCAGCGAGGCCACAGACGCCACTGATTCCCCCCAGGTCTACACTCCACTTGCATACCCGAGTTTTAAATGTCAGCTTTCTTAGACACCTCACAGACTCTAGGATATTCATTCCCAAGCAAAAGAGAAAGGCAGGTGGCAGACGCAAGGTCTGCCCTGCTGCTCAGTCGCCAGGCTGTGAGGCCGCCTTGGTGGGACCCCACTTTGAGCACTGGCGGCTGTGTTTCCTGGGGATGCTTCCAGCGAGGGCATGGCCCTGCTGGAGCTGGGAGCAGGGTGTAGCGGTGGCACGTGGCTCCCTGGGGCTCATACGCTTCTGTCCAAACAGCATTTCCAGGAATGAGCAGGGAGAGGGCTGCCGGGGCTCAGCAGGGATCCAGTGACAGCCCGTCACCCTGCACAGTCAGGGACTTAGAGCAGCCAGCGCTTCCCCGCCGCCCAACCTGCCTGGCCCACATGTGCCCATTCCCAGCACGCCGTGCCAAGGAGACAGCTGCCTAAGCCCTGTGATAAATGAAGAGCCAGCAGAGCTAACCAGATCTGTCTAGCTGGGGCCTCCATGACTCACCTCTCCGGCATGAGATTAACCCCTCTCAGAACCATGCCAGGGACATCGGCAGTGCTCAGGCCAGAGGGGAGCTGGTGAACCAGTAACGGGAACCTAATGCTGTTGGGACACTTCGACCTGCAAAGCTTGGGGTTCCTTCCAGGGCCTCATTGAATTTAGATAACTCTTTTTAGGACACAAGTTAACCCCTTCTCTGCTCAAAGTCTCCCTCCAGCTTTTCCAGCCAGCTCCAAGCAGTACCCATGGACACGTACCCAGGTCCTCCCCTGGAGGTGGGAACCTGCTGGCAGCCAATTAATGGTCTCACAGAGAGGCAATTAAGGGTAGGAAAAGATTACGTTTGTGCTACAAGCTGCTGTCAGAACAAAGAGCAACTGATCACCTGACAGCTGTGGCAGCAAAACCAAAACACTGCTTGGATAAGGGCAGCAACCAGGAGAGGATAAAGTAATGAAATTACGGACACAGCGATAAGCAGCAATGCCGGCTACCAGCTGCCAGGGCGATGCTCCTGCCTGGAATGCGGCAGCCAAATTGCCCAGTAATAAGTAAGGCCCCAAGAAGCAAAAGCAACCTGGGAGCTGGGAATCCAGCAGCAGCTTTGGCAAAGAGCTCAGCCAACCTGCCAGCTTCCACAGGGATCCTCCCGGGATCAGGAGGGAAAGGGAGAGCTTCCACTGCCGCTGTTCATGTGGCAAGAAACAAATTAAACAGAATACCTCCCTCTCCCAAACAAGCATCTAGCAACCCCAGAGCTTGCAAGGGTTTGCAGCAGCACTGAGAAGACTGCTGGATTTAGTGGCTAAGCATGGACAAAGCACACCACTGAAATCTCCTGCCGCCCCTTGAGCCACAGGCTCCCACGCAGCACACTCCGTCTGCCCGTGCCACACCAGTCTTTGAAGCCCCAGCAGTCCTATCACTCATGATCAGGTATCCTGGTTGCACAGGAAGAAGTGGGACTGTTCAGGTCTTTTGGGGTTTTGTTTTTCTTTTACCAGGCACATTTCTCCTGTTTTTTTCTAGCAATTTGATGTCCTTCACTGGGGTGCCACTGTTAAACCCAAAATGAATACGTTTGCATATGTGCAAGGAGAACTGCCCTCACAGCTTTCCGCAGGTTCCTGCCCACATCTCAGGAGAGCAGCAGCAGGGAGCTGGACATCATTAAATCCGACAGCTAGCGTAAGTCCCCAGTAAAAGCCAGCACAGCGTGTTTGTGCTGCACCAGGGGCAGCAGAGACACCCACCTCCTCCCTGCTGCTTTCCCTTCTAACGCTGCTCAAGGTGGTCACAACCACAATCCCCGTTTTTCCTGCTGGGGACCTGAAGTTCAGGGAAGAGCTGTGACTTGGCCTGCCCACGGGCCAGGGTCAGACCCCAGCTCCCAGGCAGCATGCAGGCCGTGGCACGGCCAAGCGGGCTGGCAGGTGGCATGGGCAGACAAAGTGGCCACAGCTGCCACCTCTGATTCTGTGGTTTTCTCTGCGAGGCCACTTACGCTGGGTGGCATAGAGGTGGCATCAGACACTATCCTGCCCTGGCCGCAGAGGGAGCCTGGGGGACTGGGCTTGAGTTCATCTGTTTTGTCCATCTGCAATTTCTACGGTTTCTTTGTCACCCACTTGGAGAAGCAGGCTGACTAGGGCTGGCTCAGGCTTTCCCACTCAGAAGAAAAACCCTCTGTAAGGTTGATGGTGCTTCCCATAAACACCTGATCATCTGTCTAGGGACAACAGCAATTTCCCAGGATGCGGAGGACTTGCCTAAACCCAGGCTCTGGAGAAAAGAGCCCCTGCTGAATCTCAGATGTCTCTGGATTCAGACCCACAAGTGCATCCCTGCCCTCTCTGAGACAGGTTTATAGCCACCAGCATGGCCTGCATCTGGCCATCCCCCAAAAAGCAGCACTGGGAACCCCATGATGTCCTGTGAGGGTCAGGGACCAGAGCTGCTGCAGCCTCTTCCACGAGCATCACTTATCTCCCTGGCCCATGAACCCCCCAAAACCATGGGAATGCCTCAGCGCGTAGCCAAAATGAAAGGGAACTAGCATTTGTCACCCCTCTGAAATCCTCCCCCGCCAGCTCTTTACTCCCCTGGCTGGGTTGTGCTGGTGGCAAGCGCTCTCCTCCCCCAGCCCTGTCCTGCTGAGCAGCGTTTCCATCAGCTCAGCTATCCCCCGGCTCTGAGGCAGTGCAGGTCATCGGAAACCTGGTTTCTCTCAGGGTCTGGCGAAGCAGCGGGTCTCTGGCAGTGCAAGTGCCCTGACATGTTCTCTCGCTCTCGCCCTCTGCCTCGGATGCCTCATCCTACAGGTAGAGCGAGTTAATAATTAACCTGCCTCAGCCCCTGCAGACCCCAGTGACTCCCAGTTGAATCACTAACCCTAGCAGCAGGAAGAGCTCAGCCTTGCAAGGCTGGTGCCCTGGGGCTCCAAAAGCTGCTGTTTAATGATAAAAGAAACAAATGAGAAGCACCGCTCTTCTGGCACATGCTTCCCCCTCATTTTTGCTTAGGCTTCGCAGAAGCCGTAACTGGGAAGTGTGGGAAACAGGGCAGAAGGCTGGTGGGAGCAAAAGGCGCTGGCTTTGTGTGCCAGCTGCCCGTGGCAGGGTCCTGAGGAGGCCTGGTTTTCAGGGATGTCACTTGTCCTAGTCCCAAACTGCCTGCCATGCCCAGTAGTTTGGTGTCCCCCATCTCCTCTGAGATTGCACCAGGAGAGTCCCGTGCTGATGGCTCCTCTTTAACCTGGCCCTGCAGCACCCGGTCACCTCCTGCTCTCAGAGGCATTTCTCCTGAAAAGACAGGAGTGGGAAAGGGACTAAGCGAAGGCTTTCTCCAGGCCACACAAGCAGCTTGTGGCTGAGCAGGGAGTTTGAATCCCATCTGCCCCAGGCGAGGGTAACATCTAAACAACTGCTCCACCCTCCTTCCTTCCCTGAAGAGATCCCACACTCTCTTGTGCTCCCAAATGAATAATCTCTCAGTGACCTTTGTTCTGTCAGCTTGCAGGATTCGTTTTCCAGGATCCGCTAACATGACAGCTCTCCCTGCTTCCCCAGAGGAAGTGTCCAGGATCTGTCTGGAGCCTGGTCCCATCAAATGCTGCCCAGCCCTTCTGGATGCCAGCTGAGTCCCACAGGGAACCATGCCCACGCCACATGCCCATTACCCTCATTCACAAATAATGGGCAGGACTGTGAAACAGTCCCAGTTCTGCCGTGCTTCCCACCCGTACAGTTCAGGACACGTTCCCCAAGAGAGAGGACGGCACTCACCCATGGCCACCTCACAAGCCAGGAGTAGGATCCCAGTCCCGCTCCCTTCTCAGGCGCACATGAGGAAAAGTAAAGGTCCTTTGGGTTGGAAAGGGCCACCCTGGGAGCAGCTGAATGGAAAGGGACTGCAAGGTCCCTGCTTGTGGGGAGCAGACGTTTGAATTTCGGCAGCAACCCAAAGCACACGAGCAGGGCTGCTCAGAACTGGGTCCTGCAATACACCAAGCCCTTGACAAGCACCTCATCACCAGCGAAATACACCTAACCAGCAGCTCGAAACCCAAGAGAACATCCTGCTGCCGACCTTCTCTGAAATCACCTCTGTCTAGCTGTGAGTCTCTGCCTCAGTTTCCCCTTCCCCCAGATCCACATAGCCTATTTGCCATGCAGTGGGGGTGATGTGCAGCCCAGCAGGCCCCTAAGCTCAGTCCACATCCCTGGCCCACCCAAAGGGACCGAGCAAACACACTGGGGTTCATCGTTTCACCTCTGCTTTCCCTGAGCAGTGCTGGGAAATGGGCCATATGGCCACAAGGCTGGTACGTGCCTGGGACAGACCTGCCCTTCCTGATTACCTTCCCAAGGCTTATTGCTAATACGCTGCCTGCTCCGTCTCATTCCAGCGTGGGAATGAATCATCCTACCTTTGAATGCTCGCTCTAATTTCCCTTCCTTCACAGGCTACCCAGAAACAAAAGAACCAAGACCAAAGGGGTGTGTGAGATATTCCCACCATGCTGCCTGCGTTGCTCTCAGCCATGCCCTCCCAGCCCGCCACTCCCGTTTTGGCTGATGGCAGGTCCCCTCAACACCTGCATGGGGACCCTGGAGCCACCAGCTCTGTGAAGGGCACAGGGCTCATCCCTTCCTGGGCTGCAGACGTGACCTCCATCTCCTTGAGACAGACCTGCCGCTGCCCCCTGATCCAGACCCATCGTCCCGCTTACGCACGGTGCTGTCCTTGGGGTGGGTGGGAGTAACCTCTGGGAGCGGTGGGGAGGGGGGTTGGATGTGTTTGTACTTGCCTCTCCTGGAATATACTGCAGGATTTTGTCTGTGGTCGTATCTCTCTCCCGCCCTCCTTCTATATCAAAAAAGCTGGGCAGTTTTTTCTTGCCATTTTGTCTACAGAGGGGAGAAAAAAAACAAAACACACATGCAAACACAGATCTACGCTGATGCATAGTGAATTCTGCCCAGAAATAAGGAAGCCAGAGAGCTAAGCAAGCAATTTGTCACAGGCTTTCTAATCATCCCAGCCCAGCGAAGGGCTGATAAACAGCCTGGAGAATTGTAATGGGGTTTGTGCTGCACTTGTTGCTGTTTCTTTGCTTTTTTACACGTCTTTGCATAACCAAACAATCAGCTAGGCTCACCTGTGTCTCCAAATCAGTGGAGGGACCAGATGTTCCATTGCAAAACACAAAGACCAAACCCAGTCTTGACAACTATTCCAAAGCCTCTGGAGTTGAGATGCATATGTACACATACACCACCATATATCCACAAACAGGTTTTATTTCTGTCTTTGTGGTTTTCCTCTCTCTTTCCTTCCACTCCCAGCAAGGCTCCCAGCTCCTCCTTGCATGCACACCATTAACGAGCAGTTACCAATGCCATTTAAGAAGCCCTGGGACTGCTTGATTGATTGGGACTTCCCAGCAGTCGCTCTCTTTTTCAACCAGATTGCAGCGTTTAGTTCAGCAGAAACCAGGCTTATCTCCACGGAGAGCCATGAGCGTGGGAAGCCGGGAGTCAGTGGGACAGGAGGTGCTCTGGGGCTTGGCTGCTCCACTGCAGCTACCTGATATCAGCCCTCCGGGGTCCAAATTCCCCAACCGATCCCCTCTCTTTTACCCCACAGTAGCTCCACGGACTCCTACAGGTTTGCTCCTAATTTACGGCAGCACAGGAGACCAAGGGGACGGTTTCAGTGCCTCCTCTTGATTAGAAACCCCTCAGCCGAGCAGAGTTTATGGGGTTTGTCTCAAAGCGCAGCACGTACACTGGACCCAGCGTGGATGGGGCCAGCAGGTTTGTGAGGAATCACCCTGGTTCCCAACAGAGCTCCCTTCCAGCCCAAAGTGCCCAGGATGGGGATGGCTCTGCTTCATATGTGCTTAGGTAACGGCAGCAGCGCCGTCACCGCGCTGACGGGACCACGGGCAGTGGGAACAGTGGCGTGCAGCAAAGCTTGCTCGGCACTCCTGGGTAGGCTCTATTTTGGGACAGCCGTCCATCGCCGCGGTACCTGAACGCTGCCCTGGCCAGCCCAGCACCAAAGTCCCCAGAAGATTTCATGGACATTTTCTATTATGTCTTCCTTCAGGGTTACAAACGCAGGTCAAGTCGTATGGGCAGAGTGTTGGGATTTGGGGCTTTCTCTCTAAAGTAAGAGGAGTGTGACTTGTTTTTTCACAACACAGCACCGCAACTCTGGGCACCGTGAATAAAAAAAAAAAATCGCAAGTGAAAACAAGGAGTGTCAGGCATTCTGCACCTTGCCCTGCCTGTCCCATAGAGGGAAGTGTTAATTTTCAAAGTGGAATTAAATAAATCGCGTTTCTCCTGGGGGCAGTGTCACTGGGATACTCCGCCAGCAGAACCCTACAATCCCTTCCCAGGCACTTGTGGGGAGCTGATCGCATTCGGCACTGCCCAGCACCCTGCGAAACCATGCAAAAGCCCGGTTCTGCCGAGCGGGTAAATAACTCCTGGGTTTCCCGAGCGGGGCTCAGCTGCTAGCCCAGTTCTGCATGGTGCATCGCAGGGGAGAAAGTCAGCAGGGAAGCCAGCACCACTTGAAAAGCAGCCCAAAGTAAAAGCAAGCGTACTTACTCTTTCTTCAGCGAAGGCTTCCTTCTGAAAGAGCCTCTGAGCCTCCCGGGTGCCTGAGGAACACAAGCCACGTTCCCCATGCCGGCAGCGACTGGAAGCGCCCGGGAGCAGCGGGGAGGCAGGGAGCTTCGTGCCTGTGTCACGCAGAGGCTCCCCTTGCGCCCGGGGTGACTCGTGTGGGCGTGGGCGGTGGGCGAGGATCTCGGCTGTGCTTCCCTGCCCCTGCCTCTCCTCCTGCCCCTGCTCCTGCCCCTGCCTCTCCTCCTGCCCCTGCCTCTGCCCCTCTCCCCCGCCCCGCTCGGGGCTGGCAGCGCCGGCGCTGGGAGGGGCGAGCCAGGGGAAGGCAGCAGGGCAGGCAG